GCCGCGCGGGGGGCGGTGTTGGCGGGGGGGACGATGCGGCCGATCTCTCTGATTGCCGGGCCGCTGTTGGGGTCCGCGAGGGAACCGCGCCGGGATCGCCTCGTCGTGATTTCGGAACCCCACGTCGTCCCGCCCTCCGCGATGGCGGTTTGGGCTCTCGCGAAGGGCCCGAGCGGGCGGCGGTTGGAGTTTAGCCGAAAAACCCTTTCAGGGGATCCCCCCGGGGGGATTGCGGAGAGGGGGCAAACGGCCCTCTTGGAGGCTGAGACCCCCACCTCGGCGTTATTTACGGAGCTCGCCATGACGGTGTTGAATCTTTGCCGCGTTCTCCCGCCCGCGGGGGTGGTTTGCTTTTTTACCGCCTACGAGATCGCGCACGCCTTCACCGCCTTTTTGCGTCGTAGTGGGTACTACGAGCAAATCAACGCGGTGAAGCGGATCTTCGTGGAGGGCGAACTATCGAATTCGCACACAACAAAGACAACAACATCCATAGGGAATAAAAGAGAGAGGGACTGTGCGGTATTACCTGAACGCCTCGAGGAGGATCATGTGGGGGACCTCCCACCATCATCCCCGATGCCGTTTGCGAGTCTCGGCCAAGGGGAAGAGGCGGCGGGCGTAAACAATCGCGGCGTGGAGGCCTTATTGGCCGAGTATCGATCCTACATCCTCGGGGGGGAATGCGATCGGGGCGGGACGCCGGATCCCACGCCCTCCCGCTCAACCGGACGGCATCCCACCGGCGCGCTGCTGTTTGCGGTTATGGGAGGACGCCTTTCGGAGGGGATCAATTTCAGCGATGACCTCGGCCGCGCGGTGTTGGTGGTCGGTGTTCCCTATGCCAACCCAACGGATCTCGAGCTTCAGCTGAATCTTCGCCATATCGCCGCGATGACAGTCACCAGCGGCGGCGATATCGAATCGACCGCCAACCAACCACACCACGAACAATCGTTATCGACCATCACTACGGCGTTTATCGGGGGTGAGGGGGGAAATCGCCATTCGCATACCGAACGGTCTCTTGCGCAGGCGCAGTGGGAGCTCTACACGGATCTGTGCATGCGAACGGTAAATCAGTGCATCGGTCGGTGTATTCGCCATAGTCAGGACTACGCCGCGGTGGTCCTGCTTGACGCGCGGTACGCGGAGCGGGCGGATATCCAACGCCGAATCCCAAGCTGGATTCAACCTTCGCTTAAAAAAGCGTCAAACTTTGGCGAGTGCTTTCGCGGCGTGCGCGATTTCTTTGCGCAGCGATAAGTGCCGGGACGTTTCTGGGGAGGGGGGTCATTTTTTTCACTATTATTTCTGTGTTTCCCACCTCAGTCATCTTTTAAATGAGGTAACCATTGAGGCTCAGGGCACTCTTCACCATCCAATGATAAATAACAAAACAGTGAGCAAGATATAGCCTTTGTACTCTACTAAAGACTGGGAGAGAGATCCCGGGTCTTCGTCTGAACAAGGGTAAATTATGTTAGTGTTTCATTCTACATTGAAAATTCCGAATCCTTAGTACAACGCTTAGTGTGATTCTCTTTCCTTTATTATTTTTATTCTTATTCTTATTATTTGTCTAATCCGATCACTAAAAAAAAGGTCTAATATATCAGCCACTGAGTCCCACAAGTCCGCCTTGACGCGATCCCTCTGTCCTTTGAATGAATTCCAAACCGAAGGCGGTGAATCTGCGAGGGGGATCCCTCAACCCGCGGCCCTCGACCTCGCACGAGAAGCGCCCCGCCAAGAAGAAGAACCGCGTCGTGATCACCGAGTCGCTGCGCGCGACGGATGCGGAGAAGCACGCGACCTCGCGCTCCCTCTACGGCGACCACGCCGCCCGGATCTCGAGCAATATCTACCACATCAACGACCGGGTCCGCCAGCGCGCCTACGAGGCCGTCTTCCGCAGTATTAAAGGCAAAACCGTCCTCAACCTGGGCTGCGGGATGGGGCTGTACGCGATGTTGGCGGCGCGGCGGGGGGCGCGGCACGTCGTGGCCGTCGACACCTCCGCCGTGGTCGACGCCGCGCGGGTGGTGGCGGGGCAAAACCACCTGCCAAACCTCACTTTCCTGCGCGGCCGCCTGGGCGAGATCCGGGCCGACCTCCCCTTCGCCCAGTTCGACCTCATCCTCTGCGAGTGGGTGGGCGCGCTGCTGGTGAACGAGGCCGTCTTGATGGACGTCCTGTACGCGCGCGACCACCTGCTCGCCCCAGGGGGGGTGATCTGCCCGAACCGCTCCTCCCTCCACGTGGTGGGGGTCTCCGACTACCCTTTTACGCTGGAGTCGAACGACTTCTGGGAGAACGTCTACGGCTTCCGCATGGCCCCGATGCGGCGCCTGGTGGAGAAGGAGGTGGAGGTCTGCCGGGTCCCCGCGGCGAACCTCGCGACGAGCGTCGCCCTCGCCCACACCATCACGCTGGAGGAGCTGCCGGGGCTGACGCCGGAGGAGCGCGCGGCCTACGAGGGCGCGCCCCCCGGGGAGGCCCAGCCGGGGGAGAATCCGGTCGTGCCGACGTGGAAGCCCTCGCAGGTGATGCGGGCGGGGTTCTCCTCCGAGTTTCAGCTCCGCGCGACCGGGCCGGGGACGCTGCACTACCTGACCTTCTACGTGGACGCCGTTTTTACCAGCCCGAGCGACGTGGGCGCGAACTTCGTGATTGGGATTCGCCCGGGCGGGGTGAACGCGTGGACGGAGGTGAGCGTCTTCCTCAAAGAGGCCCTCCCGGTGGTCGCGGGGGAGACCATCTACTGCCGCCTGATCACGGACACGACGGAGGCCCGAATAACGCGGATTAAGGTCTGGGCGAAGACCGAAGGGAAGGTCAGCGCGGTCGAGACGGAGGGGGAGTATTTCTATCGAACCCTTTAAGAATAAGGGATGGTGCAGGGTACGAACGAACGAACACCCAAAAAAATGGCCCAAGTAGGAGCGACAGGACGATGTCATGGAAGGGCCCCTCGAAATGAGGCAGTTGATTCATCGCCGGAGTCGATTCTATACTGTGGCATACCCGTTTTGTACATTTAGGAAAATATCAGCTCTTTAAGAGTCATTTCATTTCGGATTGGGCTATACTCGCTAGTATAGTTGGAGGGGGGAACGGGTGGTCCTTTTTGATTTGAATTTATATCTTTTTTGCGTATATAGTCTGGCGTGACTTAAACCATCAAGATCAGCAACAACAAAGGTGCGAATACCAGAGTGTTAATGTCAAAGGCTTCATCATAATTATAAAAACTAGGAATAAAATTAAAAAATGTTCACATTTTTTTTTATATATATCCCTCTAAGTGAACAAAGCACAGAGATTCGAAGCAATGCACACAGCCATTAGCGTGAGGAAATCAGTAAATAAAGTACTAAGACCAAAAGTTTAGTAAGATCGAATTCCTGGCTGCGTTTTTTACCCTTTCTGAAATTCTTCTGTTGAAAACATGCGTACGGATAAAAGTAAAAATCATCTAGAGAGAGAACAAAAGAAGGGTGAACCCAATATAGCCCACGTTGTAGACTTCGAAAGTAGATGGACGCTACGTTGGGACTCGCTGTAGTCTCCTTTCGCTACTTCCACTTTTTTCAAACCTTAACCGAAAGCATTGGAAGGGGAACGGTAAAAAAGAATAGACAAGGCTCACTGAAGTTTCCTTGTACAGACGAATTAAAGGAGTAAGCAATCCGTTAATTTGTTCCCTACCCAAACACATCAACCCTTTTATGGACTGGTTACTCTCGGAAGCACTAAAGCTATAGAGTTGGGGTTTTATCATTACAAGCGTGACTAAATACAGAGGTGTTAGAATGAGAAGTAGAACTAGCCAAATGACGATACTAATATAACCAACAGTATTTACACATTTATTTGATTGGATGCACTTAGCGCTCAGGAAAATGATCTGTCAAGGGAATGAGTGTTTTTTTTAATGAATCTTTAGCATTGGTAAACAGGTTTTAGCTCTCATTAACGCCGTAATCAACTCTTTGACGGGAAGGATATTGTTCATCCTTGCAAAAAAAAAATCATCACCCATCGACGAACAGGACGTAGTTAGGGTTTGATGGTTAAGTATTCAGAGAGTATCGTGGTTACTGCAAGTCCCCTGCTGCTATTTCAACTGGAAGTCATCCTTAAAAAAAAAAGTGTAAGTTGAATAATTTAAAACTGAATAAAAATATTAAGCAATTAAATGACTTTGATCACATGATGGGAAGAAAAGGGGGGAGGAGAAAGAGGGAGGAGAGGGGGCCCCATGAATATTACTACGTTTAAATACCTTTCTTATCTTCCTTCCTCTATGCTAGGGGTATTAACTGGCATTTTCTCTTTCTGCGTGTGTGGGCGAGTCTGAGTAGGGTTCAATAAAGTACTGATGTTTTCACGCACTTGTCTATTTCGCACCACACTGGACTTTTCGTCTGCACCAAAGATAGCCGACGCCTTCAGCAATCTTTTGCAGCGTACGGGGTTGGAGTTTGACCATGTTGCCATTGATATCGGTTTTGTTGTCTCCACAAGCACCCACCTGACGCGTGAGTTTTCCGGCCATGAGCGCGATGCCGAAACCGTGAAACTCGTCAACAAGCAGGTGACGAATCTGATTCTGCGGCGCGTCCAAGCGAAGAAGAGTCTGGCTCTTTTTTTGGATGGGAGCGAGCCGGTGTGGAATGCCCACCTGATGCGTCGTTCTTCTGGAAAGCGCGTGGAGGAAAGGCTGTACCGCCGCGCTGGGTCGCCGATGTTGTATCAACTGGAGCGTCATCTCTGCGGCGTGACGACTGAGCTGCGGCGTCCGCCGATGGAGTTCATCGTCAGCGGCAGCGGCGTGCCCGGCCCGGCGGAAGGGAAGCTGTCGGCCTGGATGTTGGACCTCGCGACGCGAATTCAACACCCCGCACGGCGCCCCGCATCCGCGGTGTCGGTGAGCCCCAATGACAGCTTTTGCCTAATAGGGGAGATGGACCTCTTTTTGGTCGCGCTGGGCTGCACCGCCTTCCACAACCTTACCACCTTGAGCCTGGTCCAGGGCGAATTCAAGTCCCTCTTTCTTCAGGACGGCTTGGACTGGCTGAAGATGCCGCAGGCCCTTGGGTCCGTCCCCGCGGACCCCGCCTCCCCCCGCCTCTCCCCGGCCCAATGGCGGCAGCTCGCGGCCCTGAGGACGGACGGGGTCCTGCTGCACCTGTTGGCACACGAGATGCCGGTGATGAACTGGCCCGGCCTCGGTTTCGATTGGGGCAGACTCCTCAACGCGTACTATACGGAGCGGCAGAATTCACAAACGGGGCCGAGCGGCGCGAAGGCGGAGGCAATGGATGAGCTGGACACCGCGCCGTATGCGGGATTTTTATTCGACGAATTCCCCCTCACCGAGGGAGGGGAAGCTTCGCTGCGGCTGAAACCGGCTGCACTGTCTCGGGTGCTCGCGCGCGCGTTCCCCTCACACGAGGCGACTTCGTCGGGGCCCGCGGCCGCCTATCTTGAGCTTCTTCTCCAATCCCACGCCATGCTCTGCTCGGGCGAGGTTCCCCACCTGGGATGGATCCCACAAAATGCGCTGCCTGACGAAGTCTCCCTGCCGAAGCTAAAGCCAGAGCAGCTGATTCACCACCTGCGCTCGCTGGGAGGCCCCACCAAGAGATCGCCGGGCCCAGGCCCAGGCGCCTCCAACCCACCCCCCTCCCAGGACAATGAGGGAGGACAAGACCCATCGAAAGACACCAACTATATCGCTCCAGTGCGGGATCGCAGTTTTGCACTCACGGGAATTGAGTCGCTCATCCTCAGCGCGCCACGGGCGGATCTTGTGGAGCAGAAAATACCGTTCTACACCGGAGGGGGCAAAATGTCTAGTGAAGTTTTGAAGGACATCATTCAGACTCAAAACGTCTATGAGGCGTTAACAAAGACCCGCTCCGCATTGAGTAAAATGGGTCTCACTTCAGAAAACGGTTCCACAGGTCTCAAAGAAACACTTGCTCAGAACGGCAACCCAGGTTCGGGTAGTGCGCTGTCGAAGCCACCGCAGTCAGTCAATCATCCCGCAATCCGCCACTACCCTGCACACTATTTTGTGCGCACTGTCAACGCACATGGTCCACCACCTGGATGGAGCTACTTCAGTGTGAATCCCGGCCTCAAGTCCGAGGCGATGAGTATTCGGTATATACTTAACAAAGCCGATCCTGACACCTTGCTGCGGGACTTTGACTCCCCTGCGAGTCAAGGGCGTAGCAAACGCAATACCCTGGACGTCTTTGACAAGGACATAGGGTGTTGGATCAAGAAGCACTGTAATGATTTTGCAGAAACCTCCACAATGACAAATGGTGATCCTTCATCACTCCCCAATAACAATGAGAAGCCTCGGACGGAACGTACCACGTTACGTGTGCTGACGTGGAATGTGCAGTTCAACCGACATAGTGGTGAGCGGACTCCGCTTGGAAGGGCGGGCATCAATTGGTGCACAACTACGCGTTATTTGGCATTGAGCGAGGTCCTTTCACAAGCAGATGCAGATGTTATATCGATGCAAGAGGTGGAATCAGGTTGGTGCAGTTTTTTATGTCAACAGCCGTGGGTGCAGGCGGAGTATGCGTTATCCTGTCAGGAGAACGGCCACGCCATCTCACCGTGGGGTGTCATGATGCTTATCCGCAAAGATCTGAATATCAAGGCATTCGAGTACGCTAATCTGCCGGCGTTCTCAGGCCATACCAGCACCATGCCCGAGGTGACCCTTTCGCTATCCAAGGATATACCGCTGGTAATAGTGTCCTCAGTACATCTCCTCGCGCCGTATAACCAGAACAACATCGACAACCGTGAGGTCCAACTGGATAATCTCTTAAAACGCCTGAAAGCGCTTGCATCCCCCACCGCAGATTCCTCTTCGGTACCGTCGCATATTCTAACAGGTGACTTTAACGATACTCTCGCACGATTCTTCCGGATCCCGAAGGAGCTCGGCTACCGAGATGCGTGGGAGGAGCTGCATCCCCATTGCATGTCCGCTGTTAGCAAGGGGGATAGTGAGGAACGCGGCTACAGCATCGACGGCGATGCCAACTTATATGCAGCGCGGATTATCGAGCCCGAGTTCTTCGGCCGCCCAGATCGTCTGTTGTATTCGTCACAGCATCTTCAGCCGACGCAGGTGGAGCTCTTGGGAACTCAATCGGTCTTGGATATTCTGAAAGAGAAAAACATAACGAAGCAGGTGGATAATCCGAAAGAGGATATCCCGTCGTATCTCTTTTCATCGGACCACTTTGGCGTTCTTGCCGAATTTCAAGTTCTCTAATCCGGAATGGGTTCTGAGGTAGTTTGAAAACGAAGGAAGTTCAATGTTGGTGCTGTTGGAATGAAAAGTAATGCGGAAGAACATTCATCCTGTCAAAAGCGCGCTTTTTTTTTGATATCGAACATCCAATATAAGAAGAAAAATAACGCTATTCAATTGAGGTGTTGTGTAAAACGATCTGATATCGTATTTTTCAAAACATTTCTCAGAATGAGGAGGCTTGATCTGAAATGTTTTTTCCACCTGTCTATATTCCCAATACACCCTTATTAATAGGTGACTTTGTTATATTTAGCAGAGTGGGACGGAGCAAACATTTCACATTGATTTCTCTTTTACACCGTCTTTAAAGGAGGCGCATCCCAATCGTTTCACTATCGCCAAATCCAAGCGATCCCGCAGAGGAGGGGTAGGAGGGGGATTAACCCAAGGAGGCCCGATTGGTATCACAGGAAAATAACACCATGTCCTTTCGCTACACCAACAACCTCATTGGTGTTTTAAAGCACCGCCTCTGTCTTGAGGCGGCTCATCGCGACCTCGCGCGGCGGACCTTCACCGGCACCTGCGATGGCATCGAGGTCACCTGCAGTGGCTTTGGCAGCGTGCTGGGGATGCGGCTTCGGGATCCGGCGCGTTGGGAGCCCTTTTACCGTGGCCTCCCGAGCGGGCCCTCCCTTTCCGGGCCCCGTGG